CCTGTCCATAGCAATGCTTAACCACACTCAGAAATATTCAGCTTCCACACAGATTACAGATTCCTACCTACACACACAGACATTATATACTCACATAAATAGCGTACATAAGATCAACAAACGATAAGTTCCCTTTTATACCAATTTCTGGGACCAACACCCCCACCTAGGGGTGCAGCAGCAATCTGGCTGCTTCCCTCCAATTCAGTAATGTGACAACCCCCTTCTCTTTCGCCCCTGGGCAGGGGCTTGGGAGGTGGCTTCTCAGGAAGAACTTGTGGGGAGCTCATTAGGGGCATGTCTACACTAGGGAATTATTTCAAAATAACTAAATATAAAAAAATAACTCCCAAAATAAAAAAATTGAAATAGTGTGTCCGCACTATGGGGCAGCCTTGAAATACGTCTGAGGGAGACTCCATTTTTGTGGATGTGATACCTCAACTTAGAGCCCCAGGAAGCATTGGGGAGTAATTACTTCAAATTACACTGGAGAGTAAATTATTTCAAAATAATTGAAGCAAAGCATCCACGCTACCGCTATTTCAAAATAACTATTTCAGAATAAGTGTTATTCCTTGAGGAAAGCAGGAGTATAGATTACAAAATAACCAGACTGTTATTTCAAAATAACAGGCGAGGTGGCATGGATGCTGCACTTATTATTTCAAAAGAAGAGGTAGTTATTTCAAAATAACTCCCTACTGTAGAACGGGGCAAGGAAAGGAAGCCCAGGTCAGGGAGGCTCTGAAAGGGAAAAGCTATGAATGCTAAGCTTCAGCAAAGCGTAGTCCCATGGATGGACTTCAGAAGGTAATAGCAGAATTCTCACAGCAGAAGAAGAATATGTTGCCCTGAGACAGGGTTATTGTGGTTTGACCACTGTAGAGAGCTTGACCTAAGATGAGAGATCTTTCCCCAGTTGACAACAAGAAGATGCAACTCAAGAATGTGTCTCTTAGGGTATGTCTACACTACCACGCTAGTTCGAACTAGCGGGGTAATGTAGGCATACCGCACTTGCAAATGAATCCCGGGATTTGAATTTCCCGGGCTTCATTTGCATAAGCCGGGCTCCGCCATTTTTAAATCCCGGCTAGTTCGAACCCCGTGCTGCGTGGCTACATGTGGCATGGAGTAGCTAGTTCGTATTAGGAAGCCTAATCCAAACTAGCTACTCCGTGTCGCGTGCCGCGCGGCATGGGGTTCGAACTAGCTGGGATTTAAAAATGGCGGCGCCTGGCTTATGCAAATGAAGCCCGGGAAATTCAAATCCCGGGCTTCATTTGCAAGTGCGGTATGCCTACATTACCCCGCTAGTTCGAACTAGAGGGGTAGTGTAGACATACCCTTATTCACTTACACGAGACTTGGACATAAGAGAGATTTGATGGACTCAACCTTTTCCTCCTCCAGCTGAGATGCTGGGGTAGAGGCCTATATGTGCAATGTCTTGCCTTTGGCTTAAATAAACTAGGGAAGTAAAAATGAATAAAAATATAAACTGTGTAGCCTTTAAAAATTCTATCAGTTACACAATTAACCACTCCCAGCCTGGTGGGGCTCTGGCTGCTGGCCCCATGGAGATGCCAGCAGCACCTGCATCATGCAGAGTTTAACCGTTAACTGTACCCAATAAGCTGATGCTTATCACTTAACCAGATAGCTGGTTAACTGGAAAAACTCTTACATCTCTAACAAACTAGACACCCTGAAAAAGCACTAGTCAATATACCTAATCTTGCCTGGATTTATTAAAAGCACTCCTCCCTTGGGGAAACTGAGGCAAAACTTTAATTGTAGTCTGCAGTTTGCTGCCAGGTGGTGATCCACAATTGAGGGCCCACCATATAGTTGTATAAGCAGGTCATCTGGTATTTCTTTTCAGTTTCAAAAGTATATGAACTGACAACAAATGTGTATTATTCCTGTAACACAAAATATAATTAAAAGAATACCACATTTCTATTGGCTAAATGTAAATAAATTACAATTAACAAAACACACCCAACAGTTTGCTGAATAAAAAAGGCTAATCCTAAGCAGTCCCTTCCTTTCATCACATATATATGGTTGTTGTTAAGTGGGTGTTTTTGTTAAAAAGGAAACTCTCTCCAGCGGTAATGAACATATCTTGAGTTATGGTGCCTTACATACTTTAGTGATATCCTAGAACAATAAATCTCTCTTCCAATTAATTTGGTAAGTTTACTTATTTATAGTATAAGGAAGTTCTTGTTCCTATTATAGATGCATTCATGTTTGCCTTTCCTCCCTTTAAACCACAGCATTGTTATTTCTAACTCACCTTGTAAAACATTCCAGAGTTATGCACAATTGTTTCTGCTTTCATTGGCAAGCAAGGCTATGATGGAACTCACAAAGGCCTTTTCTTTTCAGTTTTGTACTATTTTTTCTTCCAGTTTTTCTGGGGGAAACAGTTATATGATGATTTTTTGTCTTTGAAAACAATTTATAGAAATATAAATTAAGCTGGTGATTTTTTAAAAAAAAAATCCTGTGAATCTGAAGCATACTCAAGCACCCTAAGAAAATACAAAAACATTAATTATGAGGCAAATAGGATAGTATAAAAATACCTGAAATGTGCAGCAAAAGAAATTGCTGCTTTTATTATAGCAGCGTAAAGTAGTAAAATGGATTGAGTAATTGACATTCCAGACTATAAAATAAACAAACAAATAAAACCCCAGAAAATACCCTGACTTGTTTATGTTCTTTAACTCCAGAGCCTAATGCACAACAGGAGTATTTGCTAAGTGAAAAGAAGGCAGTTGATGTCAGGTCATAGAAGAGGATAGGGCTTCTAAGCAAAATGTTTGCTTTCTAATTGAGTAACAATGTTCCTTCCAAACAGAGAAATGAACATTATGAACCGTCTATTGTATTGCTCTTCCAGCATCATTTGTCTGGCTGAAAGTGCAATCTATAAGTATTTTGAAAAGTCTGGCATTTCTTAATGTCTAGAATATGTGATGTTTTTCTATATGGCTTACTCAGCAATTGCTTTATAAGGTGAAGTTAACATTTTAAACTAAGCAATTTAATTTTACTTTTCTGTAAACAAGCATATTTTATTCATACAGTATAAATTACAATTAAGATTGCATAAACTATTTGAGATGTTTTAACTGGCACGTCTAAGCATGAATATTGATAAAACAGAGACAATGGTATTTGGAGACAAGGAAATAGAAAGGAAGATCAGTGTTGATGGGCTTGAACCAGAGAATGTAGAGAAGTTCACGTATTTGGGGAGCAACATGACATATGATCTAGACTGTAAGAAAGAAATAGTGACTAGAATAGCAAAAGCAAGAGTGAGTTTGAAGGTGATGGATGAGATCTGGAAAAGTAAGGTGATTAGCTTAGGAATGAAGCTGAGCATCTTGAAAACATGTGTATTTAGCAGCATGTTGTATGGATGTGAGACATGGGTGATAACGAAAGATTTGAAGAGAAGGATATTGGCATTCGAGAAGAGTTGTTATAGAAAGATCCTGAGAATAGGATGATGCAGAAGGTCACCAATGAGGAATTATATAGGAAGATACAGCCAAAAGAGAACCTACTGCAGAAGGCTATACAATGGAAGTTACAGCTATTCGAGCATATTTGCAGAATGAATGACGAGTGAAAAGTTAAGACCCTGGTATTCAGCATAATGGATGGTCTGAATAGGGGAAGCAGATCCCCCAGAGAGGGTATGTCTACACTACCCCGCTAGTTCGAACTAGCGGGGTAATGTATGCATACCGAACGTGCAAATGAAGCCCGGGAAATTCAAATCCCGGGCTTCATTTGCATAAACGGGGAGCCGCCATTTTTAAATCCCCGCTGGTTCGAACCCCGTGTAGCGCGGCTACACGGGACTCGAACTAGGTAGTTCGGACTAGGTGGAATGAGGTGTACCGGTAGTTCGGAATAGGAAACCTAGTCCGAACTACCTAGTTCGAGCCCCGTGTAGCAGCGCTACACGGGGTTCGAACCAGCGGGGATTTAAAAATGGCGGCTCCCCGTTTATGCAAATGAAGCCCGGGAAATTCAAATCCCGGGCTTCATTTGCATAAACGGGGAGCCGCCATTTTTAAATCCCCGCTTATGCAAATGAAGCCCGGGAAATTCAAATCCCGGGCTTCATTTGCACGTTCGGTATGCATACATAACCCCGCTAGTTCGAACTAGCGGGGTAGTTTAGACATACCCTCTCTGTGGGATCTGCCTCCCCTATTCAGACCATCCATTATGCTAGTTCGAACTAGAGGGGTAGTGTAGACATACTCAGAATGTGTAGATATAGTAGATTGGTGCAGAGCTAGTCTATAGAAACGAAGCCACTCCACACTGGAGAGGGACAGATGGAAAGAAGTAGTGAGAGAGGCATCAAATGGGGGTTGAGCCCATGGTGGTTGTTGATGATGATGATGATGATGATGATGAACCTTTAGTAGAAAAATGATGCACTTTTCAACAATTTTAGTTTTGTTGTGTTGAAAAACTGAACATTTTCAAAAGAAGATAAAATCTTCATTTTGTGAAACAAAACAAAGAAAGTATATGGTATTTTTGTCCTGCTCTCTATTATGCAGTACAAAAGAAATAAATATAACTATTAAAATAACTGTTTTCTTGTTACTTAGGTGTCATTTTCCCTAATATATGTGTACATTATTAGGCTATATCTACAGTACACGTTTTGCCAGAAGAAACAATACAAATGAAGTGCAGATTAGCATTTTCTTGCACTTCATTTGTATAATCTCTTCCAATCTGTTTTTGCGCAAGGGGTTTTTGTGCAAAAATAAGCAATGCGGACATGTTCTTTTTGAGCAAAAACCACTTGCACAAAACTGCGGGGCGATGGAGGGGAGGCATAAGGATCTTGCACAAAAAAGGTTTTTTTGTGCAAAAAGGAAACTTCCACACTGCTCGTTTTTGCACAAAACCCCCTTGTGCAAAAACAGATCTCTGTGCTTCATTTGCATTGCCTCTGCCAGCACAACACTTAGTGTAGACATAGCCCCAGAAAGCTCGATGATCTCGGATGAAAACATAAAAGTGTTACTTCTAAATATTTGTTTTTCTTTGAAGAAACTCACTGTTTTAGAACTTGCTGGAAGAATCTGGCATTTAATCTGAATAACTTCTGTGAAATAAAGAATAGCAGTATAGAAAAGGACACTAGAATCACAAAGTGAGGCCTATTTGAGATAGAAGATCAATGTTTTATTTGCTGTGATTATGCTGACTGATTTTATTTTTGTTATTTTGCTTTCAGTGTCTCTGTGATTATATTGACTTTTATGGGAATAACATATTTAAATCCCTGCACAACTTTTTGAAAAATGTGTCCTTTCATGTTAGCCTTGCTTAATCACCTCTTCCTATTTATCACTCTTTTCTTCTTCACATAGACATTCTCCTACCACTTCCATTATTTCATATTAATAGGTTCCATGGTCTCTGGTTTAGTTGGGGAATACAAACAATGCTCAACATGCTGAGCAGTTATTTGAGAATACCACAGGGGCAGGCAGTTTGCTTCAAGATGTCCACAGAGCTTCTGTTAAAAGCCTAGAAAAGTGAAGCAAACAAACCTCAATGGAGGAGCTACTGAGTCCGCAGAAGAAAATTACAAAAGCTCCCAAAGCAATGTGGTGGGAAGGGAATGAAAGTGTTCAAGCCTTTAGACTTGATTTAGTGCACAGTTCTGTTTCTGGCATATCATTGGGCATGGAAAAATAACTGCGGAAACAGAATATATCAATTTAAAAGATGTTTAGCAACTAAAAGACCTGTCGGTCCTCATTTTACCTGTTCCACTGGAGAATATGTGTAAATTGGACTTTTGTTCTGATAAATTGCAGTCCAGTGATGTGAACCATACCATCATGCCTAATGTAGTCAGACTGTATTCAGTAGTCTTGCATACCTCAGCTAAGGAGCTATTCATTTGCTCTCCCAGATCCTCTCCAGATAATCAGAAATATTCATATATTTATCTCTTCAATGAAAATTATATTCCTCTTGCTCACCACAGCTGTCTAGAGCTTCAAAAGAGAAGCAATCTTTCTCAGCATGAATACAATGTGGAACAGATTTCAAAGAAAAGTTTTAATGCCACTTCTGAGCCTACTGTTTTTTGGAAGCCATTTTGAGGTGAATAACTGACAAAGGGTCTGATTCCATTAGTAGTAATCACTAATTTGCTTCAATGAGAGAAAGATTTGGGCCCCTTGTTTGCAGTACTTGAAATATGAAAGTCGTACGTAAGAAACTATAAAGCAATTTCCAATGTGCTTTATTATTTTAGCCATCAAAACATACTTTTATGTTTAAGATGAAAGCAAAATTCGCTGCAGTTTAATCACGCTGAAAAGCTTTTATTTTTTAATCTTTAAACTTTCAGCTTTCTGAGCTGTACTTTGGAAGCGTCCTTGTAGTTAAAAGTTTGAAAAGTCCCCTTTTTTTGCTTTTCAAACGTCAAATGAGAGAACTCCAGCTTTGGGCTAGAATGTAGCTTGGATAGGATCAGGAGCAGCAACAGCAGGCATGATTTTATCCTTGGAGGATCATGGATCAGCAATTGCTTTTCTCTCCAATAAGATGATAGGTGGTGTAGAAGTATGTAAAAGAGCCTACTCCCGCATTACTGGAGTTTTCAGTTTCACTTGAACAGTTTGACTCTGCTTTTTGCCCATTGCCCATATTCAGGGAGCATGTATTGCTGTCCCTCTGCAAGGGAGTTGCCTAGAGTCTCTTCCCACCCTAGGCAGGAGAAGGCAAAATGTGTCCATAGAGAATGTACTACCTCCACTGAAGTGTGTGTTCTGAGAAGGGGCTCCTGTAAGAGAGAGAGATAGAGAAAGGTTTCATGAATTTCCTTAAACCTATTACTTTTTTAAAGTCCCAATTCAGCAAAATATGTAAGCATATAAAGAGCCTCATTGACTTAGAAGGCAAAGCCAACATGCTTAAAGTTAGATATGTGATTAAGAACCCCGTTGAACTGGGACCTTATGAGAATTTTTTCATGCATTTTTTTATTTAATTTTAAAGATGAAATGTTTGTATTCAAATTAGAACTTTTTCATATAAGCCTATTACTTTTCTCATTGAGATGAATGGTAAAGACACCAGCTGACTACATGGGAATAAGAGTAGGATCGAAGTATTATTTTTTCCAATTAACATTACCTGAAAATACATACAAGAAAATACTTATGTTTTTTTAAAGTTTGCAGATGTATAGTTCTTTTTGGGACTAAATCACAAAATGTATATATGCCTACTAAATATTTTGAATTAGTTCAGAATCAAAGATATTTGTTTCATTTTGCTTATGACTGCCTAATTACATTTAGGGGAGCAGGAAACTATATATATGGTCAGGGTTTTCACATTTTCTTCCACCTGTTATAACTCCCATTACTATTTGATAACTGCACACATGCAGACCATAACACATTTCTTAACAAACTTAATTTAGCACATTTTTTGTGATATTGGTCAGTATGAATAGAATAGTCTCATCTGAGTTCTCTGATGAAACACAGCTCTTAAAACAAAGAAGTTCTTAAAATACAGCTCTTAAAACTTAATAATGCACAGGTTTATACTGTTGGAAGGAACTCAATGATATTTTAATATGGCTGATCAAAATATATTCTGACGCATAAAGGGTCTGATCCTGCACTCTTTCAATCAATGGGAGGGCTCCTCATGTCTTCTTGCACATCCATCCTTGCATATATTTTTGGCATAGATTATCCCACAGTGTAATTTATCTGTATCATCTCTGTCAAAATCCTCATCAATCAACCTTTTCATGGCAAGGGACTTCCGGTCCCATTATAATGTCGTTTTATGTTAATACTCAATATACGGTTTTATGCTTTTTTAAAAAAAATCATAATTCTAACCGCTGTTCCTCTGCACTTTACTGTGACTACATGAGCACTTTAGTTCAAATGCAGCAGGAGGTCCATAACTTACAGCCCCATGAAATATTGGTTGGTTATAACAATGGATTGTTTGTTTCCTTAATTAGCTCATCAAAGATTAAAATCTAACTTTACTGGTCATTAAAACAGGAGTTTGTTCTGTAGTTCTGAGAACAAAGTTTAATTATAATCAAATTCTTAAAAGACATTTTAAAATATTTCCCCAAAAAGCAAAATGTAATTATGTCTTTATCAGGAGGGACTGAAATAAAAAAATATTTGATATTTTTGGTTCAAAAATACAGAGAAAGGCATTGCCTCCTGCTATGCCTAAAGTATACACTTTCTGTCTAGAAGAGTGTAAAACCAGGCACAAAATATCTCAAGTTGGATATCTAAAAATGTGAGCATCCCCAATCAATGTCTTCTGCTGACAATTTGGCTGAAGAGGGTTAAACTTTATGGGTATGTTTACACTGCAACTCTATTTCAAAATAACTAGTGCTATTCCGAAATAACTTAGTCCGCATCTACACAGCAAGCAGTTATTTCAAAATATTGTCAAAATGCTGTCAAGCTGGAGGACTTCTTACTCCAATTCCTGTAACCCTCATTGTGCGAGGAATAAGGGAAGTCAGAGGAAGAGTGCTCCATTTCAAAATAAGTGCTGTGTAGACTCTCCCTATTTAGAAATAAGTTATTTCGAAATAAGCTATGCAATTGACGTAGTTCAATTTGCATAGCTTATTTGGAGTTAAGCCCTGCAGTGTAGACTATTTCCTAGTGTTTCTAGACCAAACACTAATCACAGAGTGAGGAATGCAAAAAGAATTCTAATCCCATCCATTTATTGGTTTCTCATACAGCTTTGGCAATTTCTAATTAAAATCTATAACCATCTTAACTCCTATGCAAATTAAGGATGATGATGATGCATCTCATTTCACCAGGGACTTGTTAGGACTATGTATTAGTAGATATCTTTGCTGTGCTTTGAATATTAAAGAGATCAATATAACAACACTTTGCATCTTTAAAAATATTAAGTGAGCAAAAGGCTAACATTCTGTATTGTAGCAAAATGGATATGTTGTGTTTTACTACAGTCTGTAGTGTTTCTGTGCATTTTTCCATATAGCTTCTTTGAAAGCCTCTTGAAAAAGCTATATGGAAATAAAGTACAAACTTTTTGAAGAGCTTTTATGGGATAATCTACACAACTAGTCTCATTCTCTTTCTATTGCATATCTATCAGAATGTTCTAAAATCTAAATTATTTCAGCACCCTGTAAAAATCTTTCCTTACATGTTGGTATAGTGCAGTCAGAGAAGAATAAATGTTAGCCAAACTTTTTCAATTATTAACAAAGAGGTTTTGTAAGTGTTAGGGATAGAGATTGTGCACAACAACCTTAACTTTTGTAAATCTTAGCTGTAATAGAAGTCATGGGGTTAAGCTAACTTAAAGCATTTAAGGAGCTGACCTAATTTCGTATTTTAACAGATCTAGAAAACATGTAGGCTATTACTGCAATCATAAAATAATAATCCTTTCTCTGCCTCCCTGGAGGAGAAAGGAAGTAGCATATAGTCATAGAATCTGCTTTGAGAGTGGTCCCTCAAAATAAACTGGTGGGGGGGCTGTGGGTAGGAGGTCAGATCCATGACATTACATACTATTAACAAGGATGGTGTCGGAAGCCTCTGTTTGTCAGGGCTGCAAATGAGTGACAGAGGATGAATCACTTGACGATTCCCTGGTCTGTTCATTCCCTTTGTGGCATCTGCATTGAGCACCATCAGAAGACAGGATACTGGGCTAGATAAACCTTTGGTGTGATTCAAAATGTCCATTCTTATGGTTTTTGCACCATAAATTAAATCCAATAGTTACTATGAATAAAGTCTCACGCCCGTTTGTCTATAGTTAGGGCCCTTGAGCTTTTGAAAAATGGGAATGTGGCCTCCAAATATCAAAGGAAGGAAATGGAGAGGCATCTGTAAAGGATTGTGTGTCTCAAAAGTCCCATCAAAAATAATTGCTTGGGAGTTGAGTATGATGTGGAAGAGGATGTTGCAGGCTGGGTTTCTAAGTGTTTTGTTTCTAGCATGGTGCTTCCTGAGCACTCTGGTGGTAAAACAAGTTGGACTTATCTCCCTATCTTACAAGTTTTCTTTTGAGAGCAGAAGTATAAGTGATCACTAACAAAGCATTGTCCTTGGGACTTTAAGGGGCTAGAGAGACTCATGTGTCTGCTCATGAAGTAGGTTGTTAATATCAAATAACAGATTGTGGATGGTATTCTGCATGGGAAAAGCAAAGGCACAACAAGAGAGAAATCTAGCTAGAGGCACAAAGGGTAACAGGAAGATGTTCTACATGTATATTAGGAGCAAGAGGAAGAACAAGAACAGGGTAGACCCATTGCTTAGTGAAGAGGGAGAAACAATAACAGGAAACTTGGAAATGGAAGAGATGCTTAATGACTTCTTTGTTTCAGTTTCCGTCAAGACGACGGATGGTGACAGGATGCCTAACAGAGAGAATGCTAGTAGAAATGGGGTAGGTTTAGAAGATAAAATAAAAAAAAACAAGTTAAAAATCACTTAGAAAAGTTAGATGTCTGCAAGTCACCAGGGCCTGATGAAATGCATCCTAGAATACTCAAAGAGCTGATAGAGGAGGTATCTGAGCCTTTAGCTATCATCTTTGAAACAATATAGAAGATGGAAGAGATTCCAGAAGACTAGAAAAGGGCAAATACAGTGCTCATCTATAAAAATGGAAATAAGAACAACCCAGGAAACCTCAAACTAGTCAGTTTAACTTCTGTACCAGGGAAAATAAAGGAGTGAGTAATTAAGGAATTCATCTGCAAACATCTGGAAGAAAATCAAGTGATAGGTAACAGCCAGCATGTATTTGTAAAGAACAAGTCATGTCAAACCAATCTGATATCTTTCTTTGATAGGATAACGAGTCTTGTGGATAAGGGAGAAACAGTGGACATAGTATAGCTAGACTTTAAAAGGCATTTGACATGATCTTGCATGATCTTCTAATCAATAAACATGGGAAATATAGCCTAGATGGGGCTACTGTAAGGTGGGTGTATAACTGGCTGGATAACCATTCTCAGAGAGTAGTTATTAACAATTCACAATCACGCTAGAAGGGAATCACAAGTAGAGTTCTGCAGGGGTCTGTTTTGAGACCACTTCTGTTCAATTTCTTCATCAATGATGTAAATGATGGCATAAAGAGTACAATTATTACATTTTCAGTTGATACCAAGCTGGAAGGGGTTTTAAGTGCTTTAGAGGATAGGGTCATAATTCAAAATGATCTGGAGAAATGATGTGAGGTAAATAGGATGAAGTTTAATATGAACAAATGCAAAGTACTCCACTTAGGAAGGAACAATCAATCAGTTTCACACATACGGAATGGGAAGTGATTGTCTAGGAAGTAGTACTATAGAAAGAGATCCAGCAGTCATAGTGGACCACAAGCTAACTATGCATCAACAGTGTAATGCTGTTGCAAAAAAAAAAAAAAAAAAAGCAAACATGATTCTGGGGTGCATTAACAGACACGAGAAGTCATTCTTCCACTCTACTCTGCACTGATTAGGCCTCAATTGTAGTATTGTGTCCAGTTCTGAGTACCACATTTCCAGAAAAATGTGGAGAAATTGGAGAAGGTCCAGAGAAGAGCAACACTAATTATTAAAGGTCTAGAAAACATGAACTATGAGGGTATGTCTACACTACAAAGTTAATTTGAACCAACAGAAGTCATTCGAATTAACTTTGATAGGCGCTACACAGGCAAACCGCTAGTTCGAACTTAATTCGAACTAGCAGAGCGCTTAATTCGAACTAGGTAAACCTCATTCTACGAGGACTATGCCTAGTTCAAATTAAGTAGTTCGAATTAAGGGCTGTGTGGCCTCTTACTTCGAACTAGTGGGAGGCTAGCCCTCCCCAGCTTGCCCTGGTGGCCACTCTGGGCACCACCAGGGAAACTCGTCTGCCCCCCACCTGGCCCCGGAGCCCTTAAAGGGGCATGGTCTGGCTATGGGGCCCGTGCCAGGGGCAAGCCTGCCAGCACCCAGCCA